GAAACTTTTCAAACTGACTTTCAGATTTATAATAGTTATAGCTAAACTCTAAACTCTAAACTCTAAACTCTAAACTCCGAACTCTAAACTCTAAGTTCTAAATTATTGACTCTAAACTCTAAACTCTAAACTCTAAAGTCTAAACTCTAAACTCTAAACTCTAAACTCTAAACTCTAAACTCTAAAGATTTAAGATAGGAAATGGAGAATCCAGTATCAAGATGTTTTTGGAACTAACTTTTAATTTTGCCAATCTTAAGTTTTATTTCAAACTATTACAGTTCAATATATAATACTAGACGTCAAGGGCGCTTCTCGCCCCCCTTTACTATTATCAACTTTTAATTTTTTCTTAAAGACGCTTTTTTAATCGGTTTCCTTTTTTTCGCGGATTTTGGAATATTTAAAATAAAATGTTAACATTTTCATGGTAACATTTTTCATCTTGAATCATCTATGAACCTTCCATGGGGTCATGTGAAAAATAATGTGGGACCTATCAGTTTATAATTTTATTAATAGTCATAGTTACTCCCGCTGTTTACCCGCACTTGGTATTTAATCATGATTTTAGCTGCCCGTTGAATATAAAAAATTACTAACATTTTTTAGCCTATGTTACCACTGGGATATCCATGGGTTCCCTTAAAAAATTTAGCCAATTACAGTGAAACCCTTAATAACGAATATATCGAAAGAATTTATCAAATGTCGTATTCTTCACTTTCTGATATTTAGTTTTTTAATAAAATAATTATATGGAACTCTTTAAAGCTGTTCCCGCATATTCATGGCTATTTATCTATTTTCGCAAATACTGAGATTTACGTAAAATAGAATAAAACTCATTGAAAAATTGTCAAGACGACATTTGATAAATTCTTCCGATGTATTCGTTATTAAGGGTTTCACTGTATATATATATATATCTCGACATAATAAATATATTTAAACCAAACTAAGCTGTTCAAATACTAAAAGTTGTTTTCTTTTCACCTTTGGCTTTTTGAAAATATAAAAATTTAAAAAGTAATTTTTTTTTGTTTTAAGAAATAAAAACATTTTTGAATTGACCACTGAAATATTTTTATCCCATTTTTGTTCTGAGGAAATTGTGCTTTTAGTCTGGAAATAATTCTATTGTCGGACAATAGAAACTGATACAATTGTAAAAGTATTGTCATTTATTGTACTTTTACAACCATATTCTTATATGTATAAACTCCTGCAGGGTACCTTGTCTAAAATCTGAAAATATTATCTAGTTTATCTTTATTTATAGAAACATATATTTATAATCTTAACACTTTAGAATCAGAACAATTTTCAAACTTTTTAGATTGAATCGAATAATAAGTTCCTATTAAATCATTTCACTTTTAAACGGAATTTTCTTTTCTTTTTTTAAAATTAGAAATATAGTAAAGATTAGGCCGTGCTGAAAGAGTAAATATTTTTTATAGTATTATATAAACAAACTAGTAGAGATAAACTATTTTTACATATTTCATGAAAGCAAATAAAAAACTTTAATGTTTAAAGATATTAAATTCGAATTAGAATTGAAGATGGCTATCTCTCTACGTATTACTGGAGTATGGGGATATGTGAGAAGAGTAAAATTTATCTCAAGTGTAACATTAAACTCAACTTTACTGTTCCTTTATTCCCTCGTTAAATAAAGATGGTTAGTAGGCTTGGTTACTGCTGTAAAATCATAATTTTCTGATAAACTGGTGTAAAATTATGGTTTTCTGATAAACTGGTGTAAAATCATAATTTTCTGATAAACTGGTATAAAATCATAATTTTCTGATAAACTGGTGTAAAATCATAATTTTATGATAAACTGGTATAAAATCATAATATTCTGATAAACTGGTGTAAAATCATAATTTTCTGATAAACTGGTGTAAAATCATAATTTTATGATAAACTGGTGTAAAATCATAATTTTCTGATAAACTGGTATAAAATCATAATATTCTGATAAACTGGTGTAAAATCATAATTTTCTGATAAACTGGTGTAAAATCAAAATTTTCTGATAAACTGGTGTTAATTTATAATTTTCTGATAAACTGGTATAAAATCATAATTTTCTGATCAACTGGTGTAAAATCATAATTTTCTGATAAACTGGTGTAAAATCATAATTTTTTGATAAACTAGGATTTAAAATATTTAAAATCGTATTTCTTATTTAAGCTGTGTTAAAAAATTTTTGTGTAAAATATTTTATTTTCTAAATTAGAAAAGTTTAATCATCAAAAATCTGAAAAATATCCCCCCCCCCCTCTAGAACAGTAAGCAGGTATCAAACAGTACCAATAGTACGAGCAGAACAGTAAGAAGGTATCAAACAGTACCAGTAGTACGAGCAGAAAAAATATTTTATTTCATTTTGTTTTTCTTCAGAAAAGAATTCTCCTTTAATGGTTGAAGTACACACACTCTAACAATCAAGGTTTTCTAAGCTCTCCCCCTCCCTTCAAGCTCCCCCCCCCCTGCGAACCATCTTCCCCCCTAGCCCATCATAAAAACTACAAAAACAGAAAATATATTAACAATTTTTATTATTCTAAAATTTTTATCTTTGACTTGATTGCTTTGGTTAATAATAATACAAAAGCGTCAAAAGTATTTTTTGATTGATCTCTACATTTCCCCCACATTCTTATTAATAATATTTTAGAATGTGTGCAACATTAAGGAATCAATTTTTATAGAAAATATCGAATTGAATTGGTAGAAGTACCTATGCCTATTGCTGAAGTAATCAGGTATTAACTTCTTCTCGTTTTTCGTAAATATTCAAATTAAAAATACGAAAATTAAATAGTTTTTTACCAAGAAGAACATATTTGTTTCTGGTTTCTAATTTCTAATGGAAGATATATATAATGCACAAACCATTGTTATTCATTATAGAGATGACAGATATTTTACATAATAAATGTTTATTCTGAAATGATTATCCATCCCCCCCCCCTCACCTCCCCTTCCTTGACTGATCTAATATGATGTATTGGTATTGTTTAGTCTGTGTTCGTTGTGTGGAAATCATTAGCATACTAGGATGTCAACGTTTTATATCAGATATCAGATGGCGGGGAGAGGGGGCGGGAGGTGATGAAGGGGGGTGGAGGGGATACTTGGGAAAACATTATTTTTCTTGTGGGCTAAGACTAAACTCCAGATATTATGTATTCATGAAATCAGAAATTTAGTTCAAGATACTAGAAACGTTGATTCATGAAGCCAGAAACTAGAATTCATGAAACTAGAAACTTGAATTCATGAAATTAGAAATTTAGTTCAAGATACTAAAAAGTTGAATTCATGTAACCAGAAACTTGAATTCATGAAACTAGAAACTTCAATTCATGAAACTAGAAACTTGAATTCATGAAATTAGAAACTTGAATTCATGAAATCTAGAAACTTGAATTAATGTAATCAGAAACTAGAATTCATGAAACAAGAAACTTGAATTCATGAAATTAGAAATTTAGTTCAAGATACTAAAAAGTTGAATTCATGTAACCAGAAACTTGAATTCATGAAACTAGAAACTTCAATTCATGAAACTAGAAACTTGAATTCATGAAATTAGAAACTTGAATTCATGAAACTAGAAACTTGAATTCAAGAGCCCAGAGACTTGAATTCATGAAATCAGAAACTTGAATTCATGAAACTAGAAACTTGAATTCATGAAACTAGAAACTTGAATTCATGTAATCAGAAACTAGAATTCATGAAATCTAGAAACTTGAATTCATGAAATCTAGAAACTTGAATTAATGTAATCAGAAACTAGAATTCATGAAATCAGAAACTTTAATTCATGAAACCAGAAACTTGAATTCATGAAACCAGAAACTTAAATTCATGTAATCAGAAAATTTAATTCATGAAACCAGAAACTTGAATTCAAGAAACTAGAAACTTAAATTCATAAAACCATCTATCTATCTTCTAAAATCTCTAGCAACCTAGTTTAAAATTCTTTCGAAAAATTTTTTACTTTGTCTACAAAATATTTGCTGTCAATACTTTCTGTAAAAATAACCATCGCTTTTTTGCAAAAAAAATATTCTTGTAAATTTTGCACATTTGAATATGTACATTGTACTAGTCCAATATGATTGTTCCACGTATAATATGTACATTGTACTAAGTGTTAAACCTTAAACAAAGTCAACAGATATTTTTAAAACGATATCAATATTTTGTTCTAATTAAAACATTTGTTTAAAACGTTGGTATAAAATTGAGTCTCTATTTAAGGTCTACAACATTTAGGAGCAAAAATATAGAGATTAGAAAATCAAGGTTTGCGTCAAAGACTCAATTTTTTTTACCTAGGTTTTATGACAATAACGATATTATTAGTTTCCAAAATGAATATGAATGAACTTCTTATTTTGACCTGTTAAATAAACTTAGATGTGTTTTTTATTCTATAAATTAGAACATTACGGATATATGTAATTCCTAAACAGTTTTTTATGAATAACATTAAACTTTTTTGTTCTACTCTAGCGACCCAAAAAACTACAACTTTCTATTTTTTTCTTAATAACTTTTTGATAATAATCTTTAATAATTCAATTTTTATTAAAAGAGCAAGAGCATACAAACAGAAGATATTTACTGCAGAGCTGGTATTGAACATGAAAATATATCGAATTACAATCTATTTAAAGGCTTTCAATTTTTCCAACATAGACAGCAAATAAATGTTAAAGTTGGCATTTTACATATTTTATACAAAATATTGTACATTTTACATATTTTACACAAAATATTGTACATTTTACATATTTTACACAAAATATTGTACATTTTACATATTTTACACAAAATATTGAACATTTTACATATTTTACACAAAATATTGTACATTTTACATATTTTACACAAAATATTGTATATTTTACATATTTTACACAAAATATTGTAAATTTTACGTATTTTACACAAAATATTGTAAATTTTACATAATTTCACACAAAATATTGTACATGAGAAGATAAATAGAAAGCAAGCAAGTATTAAAAGATCATAGGAATTAAACTTTAACAGAATGAAATTTTGATATGGCGTAAAGGACACATTGGGTCTTTAAAAACAGGCCTGTTCTGGCATGTTTTGCTTGTCACAATCCAAGGAGAGAAAGTTCGAAACCGTGATTTGGCCCAGACCTGACACTCAGTGTCAAGATTGGAACATGAGTACGGGTTGGAACTTTATCCCCCAGAATTCAGGTGTTTTGGTAATTTTGAGCAGCACTTCAAAAATCAGAACCAATTAATAATAATTACATAGGCTTAATTATGAGTTGTTGTAAAAGAGTTTTTTTTTGTATAAAAGTGATTAATCTTATTTAGATCATTCTTAGTTTAATCACTGAAAATCACATTATTCTTTGCAAGGAACAAAAATAATGAAAATATATATTTTGATGAAATTAAACAGTTTCCTTGACTTGTCAGCTGTCGTTTAGTGAACAAGGGAATTTCCAGCTGAAACACAGAACCTAGACAAATTTTGGAAATATTTATAAATTTTAAATTTTAGATCGAATTTCTGTAGCATCCCGAAGTGATTTTCTCCAGTGAATGTTTGCAAATGACAAGTTTAATGTTTAATTTTCAAAATTAATAATTTCCGACATTTATTCAATGACTTTCCCCGGAGTAGCCAAGCTTTAGCTGGGTTTCTAATTTCGACCCGACCATAAACAAACATTGTTAAACTAAACCTGGAGGTTAAACTAAACCTGGAGGTTATACTAAACCTGGAGGTTAAACTAAACAAATTTTTAAAAAACAGTTGTTAGATAACACTTTTAGGAAATAGTCACCTGGGAAATAATACACTTATGAAAATCTTGAATTGATTGTTGTTGGCTCCATCCTAGTTTACCTGAAGGTTTAAAGAAGAAAGGTTGGGATAGTTGGCTCCATCCTTGTTTACCTGGAGGTTTAAAGAAGGTTGAGATAGTCGGCTCTATCCTTGTTTACCTGGAGGTTTAAAGAAGGTTGAGATAGTTGGCTCTATCCTTGTTTACCTGAAGGTTTAAAGAAGAAAGGTTCGGATAACTGACTCCATTCCTATTTACCTAAAGTTTTAAAGAAGAAAGGTTGGGATAGTTGGCTCCATCCTTGTATACCTGAATGTTTAAAGAAGAAAGGTGGGGATAACTGCCTCCATTCTTGTTTACCTGAAGTTTTAAAGAAGAAAGGTTGGGATAACTGGCTCCATCCTTGTTTATTCATTGCTCTAATCCTCACTTCATATTCAGCATCACTTAGTAATCCAGTTAAATCCATTTTATACTCATCCTAGATATATAATATTATATTTTACCCCTGTATTCTCTACTCCTTATTGTGCCTCTGTTTTCTCTACACCTTGCTATGCCCTGTATTCTCTACACCTTGTTGTGCCCTGTATTCTCTACTCCTTGTTGTGCCCCTGTATTCTCTACTCCTTGTTTTGCCCCTGTACTCTCTACTCCTTGTTGTGACCACGTATTCTTTACACCTTGTTGTGCTCATTAATTACCGTCTCTACCCCTTGTTGTGCCCCTATATTACCTTCTCTACCCCTTGTTGTGCCCCTGTATCTGATATTAGAGCTAGATTGTGCCAGGTTCCCTCAGATTCACCAACCTTCTCTCCATTAGCCTAAAGAGTGGGAAACATTTAAAGTTAAATATAGATAGATTACAAAAGTTAAATAAAGAACATTTAGAATAATAAAAGTTTATCAATAAATAATTGTCGACATATTTTAAAATGTTATTTACTAAAATTAAAGAAACATGAAAACACTACACTATAAAGTTAAATCAAAAATACATTGAATATTGATAATTAAATAATTACAAAATCTGATTTAACATGCAATTCTAAATAATTGATTGGTTTTATTGAATTCTCTTGTGCCTGAGAATTATGAAATGTATCTTAAAGATGTGGGGCCTAGAGAGGGGGAAGGGGGGGGGGGGGCGAAGATTTCTTGACTTTATTTAGTTTTCAAATTAGATGGATACCTTTTTTCTTTTTCTGAGTAAGAAAAGGGAGGATTACTTTACTCTTGAGTTTGTATAGAATACTCTGGTTATGAATAGGAATACCTTACTCTTGAGTCTGTATAGTATACTCTGCTTAAGAATAGGAAGGAATACCTTACTCTTGAGTCTGTATAGTATACTCTGGTTAAGAATAGGACGGAATACCTTACTCTTGAGTCTGTATAATATGCTCTGGTTAAGAATAGGAAGGAATACCTTACTCTTAAGTCTGTATAGTATACTCTGGTTAAGAATAGGAATACCTTACTTTTAAGTCTGTATAGTATACTCTGGTTAAGAATAGAAAAGAATACCTTACTCTTGAGTCTGTATAGTATACTCTGGTTAAGAATAGGAAGAGTGGGTGGAGTCCAAACTCTCCAACTAAGAGTATATTCTGTCTCAGCATAACTCTGTATGTTGCTTAGTATAACTGGTTGATCTGGTTGGCCTAAAATATACATAATATTTCTAGAATTATCAAAATCAAAATTCAATAAAAATAATATTTGTTAGGTTTCAGAATACAAGAAGGGATGAAATTACAGCTGCAAGAAGAGTGCAGGAATTTGGAAACTTGTAATAGAGATGCGCAGGAATTTGGAAACTTGTCATAGAGATGTGCAGGAATTTGGAAACTTGTCATAGAGATGTGCAGGAATTTGGAAACTTGTCATAGAGATGTGCAGGAATTTGGAAACTTGTAATAGAGATGTGCAGGAATTTGGAAACTTGTCATAGAAATGCGCAGGAATTTGGAAACTTGTAATAGAGATGTGCAGGAATTTGGAAACTTGTCATAGAGATGAGTAGAAAACGTCTATAATCACCAAGCACATGGTATAAAAGCAAAAACATAAGAATGATTGAAAAGTTTAAAAGCAGCAAAAAATGTTAAAAATACTTTGGAATAAAACCAACCTTTTAATTCTAAACTCTGAGAAGCCAGACCAATTTTGTTTCTTGCTTCACAAGTGTAGTTACCATAATCAGATTCCTATAATATTTATAATATTTATAATAGTTACCATAATCAGATTCCTATAATTATTATAATATTTATAATAGTTACCATAATCAGATTCCTGTAATTTTTATAATATTTATAATAGTTACCATAAACAGCTATTCCTGTAATTTTAATAACACTTAGTTACCATAATCACATTCCTGTAATTATTTTAATATTTATAATAGTTACCATAATCAGCTATTCCTATAATTATTTTAATATTTATAATAGTTACCATAATCAGATTCCTATAATTATTATAATATTTATGATAGTTACCATAATCAGATTCCTATAATTATTGTAATATTTATAATAGTTACCATAATCAGATTCCTATAATTATTATAATATTTATAATAGTTACCATAATCAGATTCCTGTAATTATTATAATTTTTATAATAGTTACCATAGTCAGATTCCTGTAATTATTATAATATTTATAATAGTTACCATAATCTGATTCCTGTAATTATTATGATATTTATAATAGTTACCATAATCAGATTCCTGTAATTATTATAATATTTATAATAGTTACCATGATCAGATTCCTATAATTATTATAATATTTATAATAGTTACCATAATCAGATTCATGTAATTATTAAAATATTTATAATAGTTACCATAAACAGCTATTCCTGTAATTTTAATAACACTTAGTTACCATAATCACATTCCTATAATTATTATAATATTTATAATAGTTACCATAATCAGATTCCTATAATTATTATAATATTGATAATAGTTACTATAATCAGATTCCTATAATTATTATGATATTTATAATAGTTACCATAATCAGATTCCTGTAATTATTATAATATTTATAATAGATACCATAAACTGATCCTGTATTTATTATAATATTTATAATAGTTACCATAATCAGATTCCAGTAATTATTATAATAATTAAAATAGTTACCATAATAAGATTCCTGTAATTGTTATAATATTAATAATAGTTACCATAATCAGATTTCTGTAGTTATAATACTTTAATGATGATAAAAGTGTCGTAACGCCTCTGCCTTTGATTTAAGCTAAACAATTTACTTTTTGTAGCCCTAGGCATTGCATTTTAAGATTTTAAAAACAAATTGTTTTTAACTCTAGTTTTTAAGAAGTAATTGGAAAAATTCTCATCGATTTTTGCTTTAGAGCTTGAAACTTTTGGATCACTATTCACTGTTGTGATTATTAGAATTACCTTGAGAGATGTTACTGAGAAAAAGTGTTGTTGCTCAGATCCTTCCTTCAAGTTTTCAGTCTTTAGATATTTACCATCTTTATACCAGGTCACCTAAACAGTTTGCTCTAATAGGATTGTTCACATTTTTTTACTAATATCGAAGGTACTAATTATCGATGAGAATTTAATGATTTTACCTATCTACGACCAGAAAAAAAAAGAAGAAAAAAGTGATTTAACTTATAATAATGGATTTTTCTGTTTAGAATTCAAATCTTTTGAATAGCTTTAAATTTGGTAGCAGATGTTTATATGACACCTAAGCAATGCAAAATTAAAGTCCTGTATTCGTTTATGTGTCTTTACAATATTTTTGGAATATCTGAACCATTCCTTTCACAGGAAATAGGCTTACACATTACACTTTCAAACAAACTAAAATAGAAATATTTTTTTTAAAATTTGTTCTAAATTTTTTAAATATTTTAAATACGAAGTTATAAAAATGTTCTCCAATATCTTAACCTGTTTTTAAATAAACAATTCCATGTTTTGAGAAAATAAATATCTTGTTTGTCTTTAGTAAAACTTTAGTTTTTTGATGTTTGAGAAATTAAAACAATCTGAATAAATGTTATCTAGCTTTTAAAATCTTCTTAAAATTGCTTTCGATGATAAACAAAGTAATTTTGTTCCCTCTGCCAAAGTTTGCTTTGAAATAAGAAAAATTGATTATATTCAACATTCATGACTGACCCCCCCCCCTATAACACCCTACCCTCTCCCCATGGGGCCAATGTAGGCGACTTTAAATCTGATAAAGGTTGAGTTTGTATTATAATAATGATATTATGTATATTTGTATAAGAACTTAATTATATAGTTCTTGCATGCTGGGATAAATTAATTATTTATGAAAAATACATTAGATTTGACTGATATTAGGTTATCCAACCATAGGAGGTTTAATTCCAATCATTTTTGAAAAAACTGTTTGATAAAGAATAATTTTAGAATTTTTTTACTTTTTCAAGATTATTGTATTTTGGTTTTAAAATAAATCGAACATTCAAGGCAACTTTTTTCTAGAAAGACCTATGGACATAAAGATCAAATGGTTCATTAGCCAAATGAATTGATAAAGAAAATGGTTAAAATTAAAGGTCATGATTTATTTTTGCTGCGTTTAAAAAAAAAATTTTTAATTGAAAATTGCCTTAGCCGGTGGATTAATTTAGCATCTACGGAGCAGGCCAAAGAAAATATTACCTTAGCTGGTGGATTAGTATCTACGGAGCAGGCCATAGAAAATATTACCTTAGCTGGTGGATTAGCATCTACGGAGCAGACCAAAGAAAATATTACCTTAGCTGGTGGATTAGCATCTATGGAGCTGACCAAAGAAAATAATACCTTAGCTGGTTGATTAGCATCCACGGAAAAGACCAAAGAAAATATTACCTTAGCTGGTGGATTAGTATCTACGGAGCAGGTCAAAGAAAATATTACCTTAGCTGGTGGATTAGTATCTACGGAGCAGACCAAAGAAAATATTACCTTAGCTGGTAGATTAGCATCTACGGAGCAGGCCAAAGAAAATATTACCTTAGCTAGTGGATTAGCGTCTACGGAGCAGACCAAAGAAAATACTACCTTAGCTGGTGGATTAGCGTCTACGGAGCAGACCAAAGAAAATATTACCTTAGCTGGTGGATTAGCGTCTACGGAGCCTACCAAAGAAAATGTTACCTTAGCTGGTGGATTAGCGTCTACGGAGCAGACCAAAGAAAATATTACCTTAGCTGGTGGATTAGCGTCTACGGAGCCTACCAAAGAAAATGTTACCTTAGCTGGTGGATTAGCGTCTACGGAGCAGGCCAAAGAAAATATTTTTTCTGTTTTTTCTCTTTGAAACTTCCTCTGTAGTTTTATTATGGGTTTATCTAAAACGAATTTATCGGAGATTATTTTCTCAAATATTCAATTATATCTATCATTATTTCAGGAGTAGAAAAAGATAATAATTCGGATTAAAGTTCAAAGACTTTGTTCTAAAGAATATTCAAGTTTAAAATATATAATATTATATTTACTTTCTACTAAATGAAATATATGACTAGGATTTACTAAACTGAAACTTGGCAACTATATGGGACATGATATAAGTTTAAATTATAAACAACAATTAAAACTATTTTTCTTTAAAACTTTGATTTGATCTAAAAGATGTATTACTTACACAAGATAAGTACAGATACTGTATCTGTACTCTGTCCCTCTGAACTTCTAGCTGTACATGTGTACAACCCAGTATCATCTTCCTTAACTTCATGTACAACTAGAGTTGTACCTGTAGAAATACTGCTTCCTGGACCCTGCAGAACAAAAATGATAGCTTATAAATATCATTCATTTTAATTTTTTATCTATATTGTATATTGTACACAGTTGGTACAGGGTATCCGTTGTACAGTATAAAATAACCTATTTAAACCAGTGTACAGTAGGTACTGGGTATTCATGTTCATTGTACAGTTTATACTAACCCTGTTAAGACCAGTGTACAGTAGGTACAGGGTGTCAATATACCTTGTACAGTATGATTTAACCTGTTTAGACCAGTTTACAGTATGGACAGGGAATTAATCTAATCCATGTTTATATACGTACCTGTTTTGACCAGTGTACAGTAGGTAAAGAGTATCCATGTAGTGTACACGGTACAGTATATAATAACCTTTTTAGACCAGTGTACAGTAGGTACATGGTATCCATGTACTCTGTACTATTTGACCAGGTACTGAGCCCGAAATTTAAAAGAGTATCGCTTAAAACTGGTTTTTATAACGATTCCCTGTCTTAAGTTTTGGGCTCAGTAGGTACAGGGTATCCATTTACAGTGTTCAGTATTTACTAACCTGCGTAGCCTGCAGTTTACATTAGGTACAGTACAGGGTATTCATGTATACTGTACAGTATATACTAACCTATTTAGACCAGTATACAGAAGGTACAGGGTATCCATGTACACGGTACAGTATATAATAAACTATTTAGACCAGTCTACTATAGATACAGGCAAAGAGAATAGAATATATATTAGAGGGGAATTTACTAGAAAAAAGAGTAGAACGGCCATTTTGTTGTACTGTTTTCATACTGCAGGTGTATACTTCACATATTTATGCTATATAACTTTTTGGGCCCTGGTATATCATTTTATAGAAAAGCTAAAATTAATATTAAAAGAAAACCAAATTATTAAATAGGCTGGTTTCATAATTGACCAATGATCATTTCACATAGACTGTATGCCTTTCACTTTACAAACGATGATTTTCCGTTATAAATTTAAATCAAATGATGTTTTTTATTCACCTGATTCATTTTATAAAGTTTATTAACAGCTTTAAAAAAATCGAAATTTAAATGGATAGTCTAGGGAACATTCTGTATTAATGTACTCTACTGCATATAATTTGTGAACATTTACACGATTTGTACATGTTGAACTCCCTTTCAGGCTGAAAGGGACTGCAAAAATTCATACCGAGAGATTCTCTAAATTCCCCTCTAATGTATATTCTATTCTCTTTGGATACATGGTATCCATGTACTCTGTACAGTATAAAGTAACCCGTATTGACCAGGTACAGTAGGTACATGGTATCCATGTACAGTGTTCAGTATTTACTAAACTGCGTAATCCAGTTTACATTAGGTACAGTACATGGTATATTATAACCTATCTAGTATCTAGACCAGTGTGCAGTAGATACAGGGTATCAATTTACACTGTACTTTGTATAATATCCTGTTCAGACCAGTGTACAGGGTATACATGTACACTGTATTACAGTATATACTAACCTGTTTAGACCAGTGTACAGTAGGTACTGGGTATCCATGTACAGTACAAGAAAGTTCTAATCTCTCTCCCTCCGTCAGGTTCAAAGTCTTGTCTCCGATAATATGTGCTCTGGGAGGAACTAAATATAAACCTTAATTAATATCTTAGTACACTTGACAAATATACTGTACACAGACACACTTGACAAATGTAAATAATGCATTTACCCATTAGATATAGAGGTTATGAAACCAAATAGTAAATAAAAAATGTTATTAAACTATGCCAAATTTGTATTCTAAGACAAAATACAAGGGAGCAACCAACCCCCTAAGAATTTTCATTTTAACGCTGATAGTTCAGGTACTAAAACAATGTTGAGTTCATACTATAATACTTTATTTTCTCCAGTATCTTAAAAAATTATTTTATCTTTCTTTAAACAATACATCGTAACTTTAATCTTTTTTATTTATTAAATGGGAAACAAAAATATATTTGTATGGGAAATATCCTAAAATATGATTGATGTAAAAAAATGTATTTATCCAATCCAATCCAAAAGGAAGAATTGGTATTTTTTACTTTATCTAAAAATACCGATATTATCAACTTTTATACTGCTATCTAGTCTACTCGAATAGAAATAGTTAATTCTGTCGTCTGTATATGCTAGTTTAGCGAATGGGTGTTACGCTATAAACATTACAGTCTTTCATCATTACAGGCAATTCTAAAAATGGTAGTACACATTTCAAAAATGCCAGGACTATTTCGGAAATGCCGGGACTATTTCGGAAATGCCAGGACTATTTCGGAAATGCCGGGACTATTTCGGAAATGCCAGGAATATTTCGGAAATGCCGGGACTATTTCGGAAATGCCAGGAATATTTCGGAAATGCCAGGACTCTTTCGGAAATGCCAGGACTATTTCGGAAATGCCGGGACTATTTCGGAAATGCCAGGACTCTTTCGGATATGCCAGGACTATTTCGTACATTAACCCTATTCCTGCTGGGGGGGGGGGTCAATTTGACCCCCCCTGTAGTTTTTTTTACATAACTCAAAAAGTATTGGTTTGAAGCTGTTGAAATTTTCTGACTTTTCCTACATACCCAAAGCCCTCCATTTAGGCCTAAAACCGGGCTTTAATACTAACTGCCTGAGTCCTCAGGCACACTGCCTGAATGACTGCTTTTGCCTGTAACAAACTAAATCTTTGTTTTGACCCACTTTCACTTCTTATCAGATTTTGATAAAATTTAGCTTTTTGGAAAGCCTATGACATAAGGAAACGGATTGCACAAGTTTTGCAAAAAAATTGCAAATTTTTTGCAATCAACCTGTCAAAGGAATTTTGCACATTTTTAGTTTTTCTTGATTAAGAATTAGGTTATTTAAAATTTTGCAAAAATTTTTGCATATTTGAAATGACATGGTCAAGGGCTTTTCAAAAATGTATAATTTGTCATTTTTTGGACAAATTTTTTTTGCAAACATTTTTACTATATAACTGGATTTTGCGATAAAAATTTCAATTTTTGCAAATTTGCTAATTTTTCTGGAGATTCTAAAAGTAGAGCACAAGAGCTTTCCAATGATGTATCATTTGTCATATTTGGACACCAAACGTCTTTCAAGTTCTCAACTGTCATGTTTCGTCGGCAATACTGTACTTTAAATTTCTCGAAAGTTTAAACCGATTTGCCTCAATTTTTACCTAATATTTGCAGCGTATGGTTTAGATGTTGAGGATTAGATTTAAGATTAAGAGTACAGGAGACTTCACCTCGATCCTCTACTCTTATATTTTCTATTCTAAAATAATAATTAAGTATAAATTGATGAAAAAAAAACAATTTTTTCTTTATTTTTGGTTTAACTTACTTTAATTCTCTTCCATCTCTCACCACTTCTACTCTTTGATCACCTAGAACCTAAAAAAATCAGTTTTTGTATTACATATATATCTATAAAACTTGGAGGCACTTCAGGAACTCAAAGTCTGAACGGTATCCTCACATGTAATGAACTTATGTTTCATGTTTAGATTGAAAAGAACATTTGAGTAAATTTCTATTTAATCATTAATAGTGTTTTTTTTTTTTACAGTGAAAACTCTAACTGTAACTGTAACTGTAAACTGTGTAATATGAAGACGACATTAAAGCATCATTTAAATGTTTAACATTTTTTCATAAACTCCACCTTGACATTTCCTGCAGAAACCAGCTTACCCGCCCAGTTCCACGTTATTACAGAACTACCTGAATAACAAAAATATTTGTAAACTCAAGCTCTTCGCTCATATCTTCTATAATAAAACAAGAAAATCATATAAAGGTTGCCTAAATTTTTTAATCACTCATGGGTTTGCTTAAAAAAATATCTTTTTTCAAATTCTTTAAAAAAAAAATTGTTTTTTCTTCAAATCATAAAAACAAGACAATCATATAAATGTTGCCTACATTTTGTAATCACTCATGGGTTTGCTTAAAAAAATATTTTTTTCAAATTCTTTTTAAAAAAGTTGTTTTTTCTTCAAAACATTTTTTTTCCACCGGCAACGCAGGGCCCTTCAGCTAGTATATAACCTTGAAACACTGTATGCCAGGGGAATAATATACCTAGGAACCCTATATGAAAAGGGAATAATATTACCCTGGAACCCTATATGACAGGGGAATAATATTACCTTGGAACACTGTATGACAGGGGAATAATATTACCTTGGAACACTGTATGACAGGGGAATAATATTACCTTGGAACACTGTATGACAGAGGAATAATATTACCTTGGAACACTGTATGACAGGGGAAAATAACAGTTTCCCCCTCCTTGAGCCTGAATTCTGCAGAAGATGAAATAATTCTTCCTTCTTGCATTTCTTCTCCTTCTTCTTCTTGTTCTCCTCTTCTCCATCTTGTTTTATCTTCTCCAACTAAACAATTATTAGAAGATAGATAAACAATGGGCATATAAAATATGATTTTCAGAAGTTGCAATGTACAATGCACATTGTACATTGTGCATTGTATGTTGTACCTTGTACAATGTACATTGTGCATTGTACAATGTTCAATTCACATCGCAACATTTACATGTCCAATGTTTACGTTATTACCAGAGAGTTATAGAGATCGGTTATCTGCTAAAATATGCGATATTTTCCACAGCATGATCTATTGTGTACAAGTACTGTACAAGACCAATCAGCAAACATCTGTATTTTATGTTTCGTATCCAAAAGATCTAAGGATCCTTTGGATACGAAACATAAAATCTTCAAAAAAAAGAATGAATTCATAAATGTTATGTTTCATGTTTATAATTGGAGTATTTCTTAAAAAGTTTTAAAACTTAACCCCAGAATGGTATTACATGCAACAAGAGGCCGTGAGATGGCACTCTACAAACCTATCGTAAAAACGTAGCAGGTCGTGCCGGGTCAACTTAGTGTGTCAATGATTATCCCCAGATTTTAATGATTTTTAACTTAATGGATAGTTATTTCATTACTAGCTTGAGAAGTTAGTTTCCCTGGAAAATAATGTTGGAAACAAAATAAAATGCTCTAGTTGTGAAGGAAGAACATTGTCACACACACTAGAAATATTTTCTTTATAACTTTGCAACCCATGATGTAGTATAACCTTGATATTTCAGATTATGAATTTTGTTAGAATCTAGGTTTGAAATATCAAAGCTTCAAACCATCAGTTTGCAAAGATATTGGGATTAGAAAATTTGAGTTTTGTGGCAAATTTATCTTTATTGCCGGCAAAACGATCAAGGGGGTATATTATTCATTTTTGGACATGAAATCCAACAAACAAACAGAGATTACAACTTTATATAAAAATAATTAAAAAGATTTAAAAATCATTTTATCCAAATCAATGTTGTATAAATATCTCCTCTCTTTTCCTGAAGTATCTAAACTATTCTTAAATGTTTTTTTTTTATGATTTTAAACTTTATTCTTGAAATATCTGTGAAAGAAAATCCATGAATTTCCTTTGCAAATATTTGCAAACCATTATTAATGGTTTAGTAGAGTTTGCATTAATTTGCAAACTAATGGAAGTATAATAATCTAATTTTTGCGGTTTTCCTTTCTGCACTTTTAATAGAAATATTATGTAATTTTGATAATCAAAATTAAGATTTTCTAAATGTTTTCAATAATTATTTTCCTCTTCTATAACTTGACCAGTTTTTTAAAGCCAACGTCGAACCCAATAGGAGTGATATGAAACTAAGCAGGAGAAATAATTTATCATTTTTAAATTTTGTGTTTTAAACAACAAAAACAGGATGATCTGAAAGAACTATTGTTCATCCCTTAAACTATAAGCTTTTGATTCATATGTGCAATACTAGAAAGGAGGGGGAGGGGGATGCAAAGAGTTCTACACGACTTGTATATAAGTGTATATACACCTTACTAGAGAATCAATATTTACATGATTATTTAGCATATTGAAAATAATAATTTTCCAATAAAGAGGAAATAACAGATTTTTATTATGTTTATATTTATGGCAACGTGAAATAATGATGCCGCAATTAACTGCTTTATGTAAGGTATACAGGGTGTCTCACAAAACATGAAATTTTAGAGAAAGCTTAAAGATCGTCTTTGACTTAATCTGGTTAAATTACCGATAGTTTTTAACGCAGAGAAACGACGGACCACTTTTTGAAAATGCTTGGTTTTACTCGTTAAATTAGGTTGACGAATGAATTACTTTATAAATCAAAGATGATCTCTAAGTCGTCTAACTTCGGACGAAAAACTTCTAAATCCAGAGAGTTATGTGAAAAACAGTCCCATTTAGAAAAAAGGTGAAATATTAATGTTAAGACTTTCTGACCTCGTAACTCTCCTCAATAGTAATGATTTTAGGTCCGAAATAGAGAATTTTGAATCGATAAAATTCAAACTTTTTCTTATTCTTAATAGCTCCTCATCGGACAATAGATTAAACACATTTACGATTTTAATATAACGAGAGTTTATGCCACAAACTCTGATTTTAATATAACGAGAGTTTATGCCACAAACTCTGATTTTAATATAACGAAAGTTTATGCCACAAACTCTGATTTTCTAATCCTATATCTTTTCAACCCAAACTTGTTGACCTTTGATATTTTGTAAGATCAAATAGTCTAAGTTTGAAATATCTAAGGTTTACATCATCAGAGTTGAAAACTTTAATCTTGATCGCTTAATCTTAGTATATTCTGTGGAAACTTTTAATTGTCTTTTTAATCCTCTCTTGTTGGATATCACATTTCCTACTACATGTAATAAAGATAAATTTGATTAAAAATAAAGATACAATGTTACATCGATTGGACTAGTATCCGATTGAAATAATGTCAGCTGTTCACAAGCCGGCTTTCAGAGCATTTTAGCAAATATAAATTTAATCATGTTAATCGCGAACATATTAAAAAGTCCTTTTGAACGTTAGTTTTTAAAAACATCCAAAACTCTCGTTCGTTCAATCGATCATTAGTTTAACTAATATGACACCCCAAATGCAGGGAAATTAAAAATCGGGTTTTCAAAAGTTTAAGAGCGCATCTCTTTTCCCTAGAAATTAATCTGAAGACTAGATTAGTCTCCAGATTAAGAAAAGGAGAGGAATTTGACGTGAACTAAACTGCATATTCAGGACCTATTTTCCCTATACTTAGATTTATGTTGTCGATATTATAAGATGACTCATGATCGATGTGTATTGTTTCAAACGGAATTATGTACTGTTATTTACGGTGGTAGGTAATTATATAAGAATAATGAAGACGACTTTCAATTTTAATTTTGATTTATATCAAGCTTTTAAACAGCAAGGATACGCACAAACATGGAAACAAAGAGAAGCTCTCAATTAAAACAAAACTTCTCTTTAATTACTTGTAAACTTGTAATTCGAAAAAAGCTTGTTAACAATTAAAAATTAAATTGAAAAGTCGTCTTCATTGTATTGATATAACCACCTACCACCGTACTATAAATATAATGATCGCATTGTTGTGTACTGTATTAATTTAGGGAAACCAGAATATTATTTCTAATTAGTAGTTTGTAAACAAAACTAATTAATGATCTAATTGATGGGGGATGCTAAAATGAATATATATATAAATGCATTCATATATCTGGGGTTGGGATAACTAGCACTTTTTTGATTAGTTCGTTAACTATTACTTAACTCAACGTAATGACAGGACCAATTTTTTAAAATAAAATTGATCAGTTTAATTTTGCATTAATTTTTAGAAACTTCTGGTTTAAAAATAAAATTTTAATATAATGGTCTCATGATGTAAAATTGTTGAAAAACATTACAAAAAAGGGGGCATTCAATTTAGGGTTTTTTTCTTTTCTTTGTGTAAAGGTAAAATTTCGTTTTTTGTTTTGTTTTTATGGAAAAAATATTCAACACATGCTTAAGTAAAGCGCTGGCATCATCTTATATCTAGTATCTGTTTTTACGCTACCGTTTCTTAAGAAGCAACATAGTTCATTCATTCATTCATATATTTATTCATCTACAAAGCATGAGATATTACAAATAAGCAATCTCAATTTACTATGCAGTTTGGACCCGCCTAACCAGGTTTGGTTGTTTTGAGTCGTTGGCCCGTAGTTAATTAACGATACTGAATATAATATATCAAGATATGTTTTAAGGAGTTGATTGGAAGGAAGGAGATTGTCAGGTGATCTGTGGCAGGGTGAGATCAGAGGGATTTTTATGTAGAGATAAATTAAAATACTGGGTGTTAATGATGGTAGTTACAGAAACAGAAATAAGCTAATAAAGTTTCAGATATTTTAGTTTTTAATCGATGATGAAACTTGAAATTAAGAAAAAATGAATACTTTCTTTCATAACACCTGACTGTGCTAATGCTAGGAATTCATTAAAACTTTACAAACTTGATCAAAAGATTAAAATATTACAAATTAAGCTCTTTTACATCATTATATCAAACTATTGACATTTTCGAAGATTCATATATCATATCATATATATCATAAAATCAAATAATACTTATCATTTATCATATCGTATATTATATCATATCATATGTCATTTATCATTTCATATACATCACTTATATTATACCGGATATATTATATCATTTATCATATCCCTGACAAAATGTAAAGGAATTAAGTTTTTGTCGCAAACTTAAATTTTCAAATCCCTATATCTTTGGAACCTGATGAAGTAAACCTTTGATATTTCAAACTTAGATTATTTGATCTAACAGTATATTTAGTTTGAAAAAAATAAGGTCAAAGCCATTTGGTTGCAAAGATAAAGGGATAGGGATTAGCCATTTATAATCGAATTTTTTTAATGAAAACAAATGAGCATAAAAATGTAAAGCTAAGCTAGGTACTTGTGCAAGTCCATAATTCTATATACATTCATATTTAGTAAGCCAAATGCAATACCATACATAGATATATCCTACTTATTAAGTATTGTATCTCCGGTCATTTGAGTAAAAAAATGATTTTGTGATAATCAAAAATAATGCTTTAAAATTAAAAATGGTAAAATATTACCGCTACTTCCCAAAGTTCGAAGTCCCATCCCCCCTTTAATCTCTTTAATTTGATTTTATGATGATTACCTGAATGGGAAATAATGATGCAGAGAATTAGGAAAATCTTTAAATGTTCCTCAGACATTTTTTTCAGTGAAGTAAGTACACTTCACAGTGAAGTGGAGTACACTTTCTCTAGGATTAGTGCAATCACTGGAGTACACTTTCTCTAGGATTAGTCCAATCACAGTACACTTACTTTCCTACAGTTTAGTTTAATCACTGCATGGAGTAAATGTTATTTTTTGGAAAACCATTTTTTGCCAGATTTCATCATGATTTTCTAAAAAAATTGTTAATAATTAAAAAAAATTATATATAAATTTTTTTATCCCTGATGATCACTTTATTTCCTCTGCTTATTACTTTCCATCCTGTTCATTACGAATATAAAACTACCTACGCTTTGCACATTACACATTGCCTCTCTCACTCTCGTATCCCCAAATCTGAATACTTTAATCAATAGTATTTCATCTAGAGAGCACACTATATACATTATACATTAACTAATTACACCAGGTTATTATATAGTGAATATACTATATTTCTGTTTTTGTTTCATTAAGTGAACTAACACCCTAGATTTACAGCACTAAGCATAGTTATTTGCTTCAAATATACAGAAGATTATCTTAGCTTATTTAAAATATTTAAAAAAGAATTGTAACATCTTAGATTATTTAAAATATGTTAAAAAAGAATTGTAACAAGTATCTAAATAAGATTTTAAAAAGTAAAACTTTGAATAAAATATTCGAAAGCAATTGAAATATTTAATCAGAGATACAAACTTCAAAGGATTGTAAACGTCCTTTTAGAAGATCTTTTACAGAAGGGTATGTCCGATTTACGATATACATTTAAACATTATAGAGAAATAGTTATTTTTTCAAGAGAAAATGATGTATGTGTCACGTCATGCATTCCCTTGAATGTAACTAAGCATATAAGAATAAAGCGTTGTGAGTGAATCCAACATGCCACTCTGTAAATGTATAGCACCCTGAACTAACGAGAGAGAGAAGCATTCGGTTTCTTTTATTTGAAATTAAATGTGCTTTCGTCTATAACTCAAGAGTCTTTATTTATTGTTTATTTTATACTTTTTCATTCAAAATGTATATGCCAACAAAAAAGTATTTAAGATAAAAGGCTATAAAATGATGTAGAAGGGGTCAAATTGTGATCGAAAGTCACAGTTTTCTGAAATATTGACAGAACCGTTAAATCCACGTGACTTGAAATTACATCTACCGTGACACAGTTTCTTAAAAACTGCAACAATTTCCAATAATATATATGTTCGGTTAGAAATAGCATGAGGCTATACAAAAATGTATTTTATCTATTAAACCCTGCCACCCTTCTCGGACCTAAGCCATTCACCGACTGAGCCTCTGAGCTTGGTTGTATCACTAACCTCCGGGAAACCTCTGTATCCGGCCACTGAACCTCAATCTTCCGTCAAAAATCCTTCTGTTTTGCAGAAAATTTATCTGTGTAATATAGGTTACAGGCTTTATTATAGTATAATATATGTTTCAATATAAACTATCTGTTTAATACAGGTTTCAAGCTATACTATCTGTTTAATACAGGTTTCAAGCTATACTATCTGTTTAATACAAGTTGCAAGTTATAATATCTTTAATACAGGTTTCAATCTATACTATCTTTTTAATACAGGTTACAAGCTATACTATATGTACAATACAGGTTACAAGTTATAATATCTTTAATACAGGTTTCAATCTATACTATCTTTTTAATACAGGTTACAAGCTATACTATATGTATAATACAGGTTACAAGCTATACTATCTGTAAAATACAGGTTACAAGCTATACTATATGTATTATACAGGTTACAAGCTATACTATATTTATTATACAGGTTACAAGCTATACTATATGTATTATACAGGTTACATGCTATACTATATGTATTATACAGGTTACAAGCCATACTATATGTATTATACAGGTTACAAGCTATACTATCTGTATAATACAGGTTACATGCTATACTATATGTATTATACAGGTTATAAGCTATATTATCTGAATAATACAGGTTACAAGCTATATTATCTGAATAATACAGGTTACAAGCTATGCAATATGTATTATACAGGTTACAAGCTATACTATCTGTATAATAATGGTTACAAGCTATACTATATGTATTATACAGGTTACAAGCTACACTTTCTGTATAATACAGGTTACAAGCTATACTATATGTATTATACAGGTTACAAGCTATACTATATGTATTATACAGGTTACAAGCTATACTATATGTATTATACAGGTTACAAGCTATACTATGTGTATTATACAGGTTACAAGCTATACTATCTGTAAAATACAGGTTACAAGCTATACTATATTTATTATACAGGTTACAAGCTATATTATCTGAATAATACAGGTTACAAGGTATACTATATGTATTATACTGGTTACAAGCTATATTATCTGAATAATACAGGTTACAAGCTATACTATGTGTATTATACAGGTTACAAGCTATATTATCTGAATACTACAGGTTACAAGCTATACTATATGTATTATACAGGTTACAAGCTATACTATATGTATTATACAGGTTACAAGCTATATTATCAGAATAATACAGGTTACAAGCTATACTATATGTATTATACAGGTTACACGCTATATTATCTGAATAATACAGGTTACAAGCTAAACTATATGTATTATACAGGTTACAAGCTATACTATATGTATAATACAGGGTACAAGCAATATTATTGGTATAATACAGATTGCATGCTGTAATATCTGTATAATACAGGTTACAAGCTATACTATCTGTTTAATACAGGTAACAACCTATACTATCCATATAATACAGGTTACAAGATATACTATCCATATAATACAGGTTACAAGATATACTATCTGTATAATACAGGTTACAAGATATACTATCTGTATAATACAGGTTACAAGATATACTATCCATATAATACAGGTTACAAGATATACTATCTATATAATACAGGTCACAAGCAATATTATTTTATAATACAGGTTACAAGATATACTATCTATATAATACAGGTCACAAGCAATATTATTTGTATAATACAGGTTACAACCTATACTATCTGTATAATACAGGTTACAACCTTTACTATTTATATAATACAGGATACAAGCTATGCTGTTCATATAATACAGGTTATAAGCTATGCTGTCCATATAATACAGGTTACAAGATATACTATCTGTATAATTTAAAGGATACAATTTTTAGAAATTATCTCCACTTTCATAGTTTTAACCCTTTCCTTTCATTTTTGTGAAAAAATGCGAAATTTCACAAAAAACACGAGAGGAAATTTTCTCATTTTTTCGCGAAAAGTTTCGTTTGCTGCAAACCTTACGTAGAACAGGCTCTCTCTCCGTTTTGTAATTTATACACAGAGAGAACCTGTTCTACGCAGACCGGGCTTTTGCCACAGGGTTATTGTGAACGGAAAATACATAAATCTTGAAAAGACGACATCTAGTGTCCTATCTGTTATTTTAATTTTTCTATGGTACAGATTATCCAGCAAAAAATACATATGTGAATTCTGAGAATGAGTTGGAGTGGGAGAGGGAGAGCATGGACAAATAATGATGAAAAACTCAGGTTTATTACTCTCAGAGGAGTAGGAGTGAGGTTCATTACTTTATAGAGGTTCGAGGGGATCTAAATTATTTATATTTTTTATAAACATTAGACATTTTAGATCTTGTTTTGCTGTTTCTGAAAATAATTGAAAAACATTGAATTTCAACTATTTGTGAAAATATCAGGTAAATGAAAAATAATCACATTTCAACACCAAATATTCAAAGTACAAGAATCATTTTTATAACAAAAACTGTTTGCCAACCAATTGAAACAAAAACAATACAGTATTCGCCGGATCCAGAAGCATCTTTGTATACTAATTTCGATATGTCTTGAATTTTTTCTTACTAGTGACTTTTATTGGTTTTAGAAATACTAAAAGAATTGGGTTTTTGCCACAAACTCAAATCTTCTGATCCCAATATATTTGCAACCTGATGGTGCAAACCTTTGATATTTCAAACTTAGATTATTTTATCTTTAAGTATTAATAGTTTGAAATATCTTAGGTCTACGACATTGGGTTACAAAGATATAGAGATTAGAAAATCAGAGTTTCTGCAGCAAAAACTAAACTCCCTTCAATCACGGTCACAGTTTTCAGACTTGTAATAAAAATTCGGCAAAATACTCTTATTTTTTTATGGGCACTTACATAAACTGTAAAGGGGGTGGGTCCAATTGTTAAAAAAGTCGAAAACCATCACCCTTACATCTACACTTCTATTCCTTTGGCCAGGAAGCTCTGGAGAGAAATCTCTGGTGCGATCAATTCGTGCAAACAGGGTTGGTATTCTCCAAGAATTAAAAACTGTTTCTCAGAGGAAGTTAAACTCCACCACGGTCTTCTGGGAAAAAGATAAAATAAAGATCACCTTCAACTCCTACCGTGTCAAAAGAAAGATAAAAAGAAAAAATCTAAATATTCTTTCTACTTTTCCTCCAGTCCTTGATGATGACAAAAAACCAGTAATATTCGAACGAAGTGGAAACAATACATCCATACTTATACTTGGAGGTAGAGACTAATAAATTCTTGCTGATGAGATGACTACTATCAACTGTTCAATTGCTCAGGTTTCATGATTTTTTTTTCTCAGTGGATTGTAACGTCAAGTATCTATTTTTAAAATTTGATAGAAAATATGATTTTTATTCCCCCAGAAAATACAAAGTGGTTCGACAGTCTAATCAACTTGCGCATACCCTTTGGCAATACAAATAATATCCTTCTCTGTAAAGCTTGCCTTGGGCAAATAAGTGATTATTCCTCCTCTTTTCTTTCCTGCTTCATGAGTAGTCAACCCTATCCGATTCTGTAGAGATTAAACATTGCAACCCCCCCCTCATATTGATAGACAATCAACTAAATGTACCCCCATTTACTGAATATTTGTATGTCCCCCCCCCCCCCCCCAACTTCATAGACAACCAATTAAGTACAGTATCTGTTTCCATAGATAAAGATCTTTGAAAGATAACCAACTGAAAAAGAATTCTGTTTAGCCATTCCCCTTCTGAAGAAAACCCCCCTCCCTCCTTTACAGTATTGGGTATATTCCCTCCTTCTGTTCTCTTGTGATAGTTTGCCTGCAGGTGATCGAATACAAATAGGTTACAC